TTAGGGGAAAGACGTCTTTGAGCAGCCTGGTCGGGATGGGGTCCAGGAGACATGTTGATGATTTAGATGAAGCAATTGTTGAGGTCAACTCAGAGAGATCTATATGGGAGAAGTAGTCCAAGTATAAATGAGGTCTTACAGATGTTTCTAAAGCCATTGTAGTAGACGGCACATCCGCAAGAGCTGTGGGAGTGGTCCGACCAATTTTTTCTCTAATAGTTGTGATTTTATTTGTAAAAAAGCTCATGAAGTCATTAAAGTTACAAACGGGACAAATGCTTTGGTTCTCCAAGGTGTTTGTTTTTGAGATGTCCAAAGTAATCCTGCACTGCTGACTTTAATCTCTTGTTAGGTATTTTTAGTCAGATAGATATTGGTTAGATACTTGATATATTAGAAATGTTTAGAGTAGACAGGATGTCTAGCTCAGGCTGTTAAATGCTTAGACATTCTCATGAGTTGCTGCAGGCTGCTTAGGGTGTTTAATATTATTATTATGACGTGTATAACTGTAGCCTTAGCCATAATATGTTATTATGTTTAATGTCATGACATGTCACTAGAGGTCGTGTTAGACTGTTTTTAGATGCACACCACATAATCAACAGACAATCACACATTGATTTTCTTCATGCTTTGACTACCACTATAGCCAGCTGCAAAGCACCGGGAGACGTCACGGTTTGGCGTCTCTTGTGTAGAATGGGGTTAGCCCGAAGTGATATAATGTATAGGCCTGGTGTGGTTCGGGGTCTTTCGTCTTTCAGCTGCCTGCGTGCATGTTGGAGGTGCAAGATACCTGAGTGTGTAATGTTAATTTTTTTACCTGTGTTCATTGAATAAATCAGCACTGTTGTGAAGTTACTTGGACTGTCTCGTCTCTCAGAGTCAGTATGGTAAAAAGTACCGGAGACAACACTCTTTTGCATGGAGTTTGGTGATACCAGCCTCTTCTCTTCCATCTGTCCTCTGCATGTGCGCGAGTGGGGCCTGCTGCTGAGTCTGACAGGTGGAGGAGAAAGGTGTGCACCATTGCATTTTTCTTCAATACCACTAATAAGTATAATGCTCATGGTATGACAACCGTCAGTTGTCATACCATGGTATACCGTGAAACTGGTACACCACTGGAAGCATAGTGCACACTGTGGTATTGCAACATTTATATTTGTAAATGAGCTGAATACTTCTTCTTCTACTGCTGCTCAATTATTAACTTATAATAACAAAGGGTTTCTGATTAGCATTTAAATCCACAGTTGAGCCTTAAAATGGCCAGAGAAAGTAACATTTCCTTTGATACACCAGATTTTGTAACATTTATATAACCCATAATCACCCGTTTTGAGCTGTGCATCTGTGAGTCATAAAATATCGATCCTGAATACATATTTTCCGTCCTAATAATACTATTTTGGTCTCTTAAATAGATCTAATGACGCAAACAGCCCCCAGCCAAAAGAAAAAAGCAAAAAAGCAGTGCTACTTGCGCACCTCATTTCCATGGATCTCTCAGATGAGCGCATATTTAAACCTGGCCCCTGCACAGGCGACGGCACACCTGCAGTGGCTCGGGTCTCACGGTGAAGCCTCCAGCAGCGCACGCAGTGATGAAGACGGAGAGCGCGGCGCAGGCGGTGCCGTTCAGCGGGAGGAAGCAGAGCCTGATCGAGGATGCTCGCAGGGAGCGCAGCAGCGGCTCCGCGGGCTCTCCGGGGCCCTCCAGGTACGGCGACGGCTTCGTGTTTGAAGAGAAGGACGGCAGGGTCACTCTGAACGTCCTGTTCAATATCGCCAATGGGAGAAATGCTGGGTTCTTCAAAACAGGGAAAATATTCGAGGTAAGCTCCAAACAGGCAGCATTCGGATCATGTACTTCAGTAACAGTAGCAATACCACATTGTGAAAATACGGTTACTGCACCGTACAGGTAGAATAATCAATTACTAATCATTTTACTTAAGCAAATACACGAGAGCTAGTAGAAGATGTTTGTTTTAAAAGTACTCCTTGCAGAAAAATGGCCCAAGTTTATATTATCACCATGCTTTTATGTTTAAGTAGCATTTTCTGTTGTAGTCGATGTCGCGCTGCAAATAACAATTATTTTGCTTATCGATTAATCTGCAGATTATTTCCCTGTTTAACCAATTCGGTTTGGTCTAAAAAAAAAAAAAACAATTAATGGAAAAACGCACATCTCAGGTTCTTAGAGCCTAAGGCCGTTGAAAAATGGAAACCTCCAAAAATTTGTGAAATTTGACTCGAACCTATTTGATTATCAATATTTTTCTGTAGACGAACAAATGCACTAAAAGCTACAGCCTAATGTTGATGTGGGGCCAGTTTTAGGTAGGTCAAATATTTCATGTTCTGTATGAAAGCTTGTGCTCTGACAAATCACCTCTAAACTATAGTTGTCAAATAAATGTGATGGGATAAAAAGTGCAATACATTATTTCCTCTGCAATATGGTGGAACGTTTGAATAAAGCTAATCTTTTTTGTGTTAAATCCTCACAGACGTTTGAAGCCAAACTTCTCCACATCGAAAGTCGACCAGGGAGGAAGTCCAAGAACAGCCCGACAGACCTGGAGTTCTTCATGAAGTGTGAAGTTCACAGCTCTGACCTGGACGTGTTCATCAACTCCCTGAAGAGAGTGGCCGATGATGTTCGCTCTGTACCCGAGGAAAAAGGCAAGTAACTCTTATTCCATCCAAGTACGATCGTGTAGGACATCGCATTCAACATTACAGGCCTTATTTGTTCAGCAAATGCCAATTTTATTCTATTTATTTGTTACCATGATGATACAACCACGCCAATTACCAAAGCATTCATCATTTCTCCCCCTCCTGTCAACATCACAGTTCCCTGGTTTCCCCGACAGATGAAAGACCTGGACAGATGCAACATGTTAATCACCAAATTTGATCCGGACATGGACCAGGACCATCCAGTGAGTGCTCACATACCTGCTGCAAAATGTCCCAGGTTTTGATCTTTATCAGAAATCATACTTCTTGGACAAAACACAGTCTATTTGTGGTAATTAAAATCTTTCTTGCAGGGCTACCGAGACCCAGAGTACAGGAAAAGACGGGCTTTCATCTCTGCGCTGGCCTTCAGATATAAACAGTGAGTCGGATATTTTTAAAACTCCATCTGCCTTCATGAATCACAGTGAATTAGTCAAAAACTAATCTTCTTGGTCGCAGGGGGGACCCGTTGCCCATTGTGGAGTACACAGCAGAGGAAGTTTCAACATGGTGAGAATGAACGGCACCGTCATGGATGCGCGCACACAGTGGAGGCCGGTTAAAGTACAATGGTGTGATGTTGTGTTTAAAGGAGGGAGGTTTACCAGGGGCTGCGGAGCATCTACCCCAGTCTGGCCTGCAGGCAGTTCCTGGACGGGCTGCAGCAGCTGGAGGAGGAGTGTGGCTACGGAGAGGATCGCATCCCTCAGCTCGGAGACGTGTCTGCCTTCCTGAAAGGTGACACAGATTCATAAAGTAGAATAAATCAGTGTTCCTGCTTCAGTATCAGCTCTCAGAGAAATCGAATAAGTAGAATTATAATCAATTCAGGTCTTTAAATTATAACAGCAAAGTATTAGTAGACAGATTATAGGGCTGCGACTAACAATTATTGTAATTTTTGATTAATCTGCGATTTATTTTCTAAATTTGTCATTTTGTCTAAAATACGAAAAAAAAAGTCTGTTATAATATCCCACATCCTAAAGTGACTCTTAAATGTCCCGTTTTGTCTGACCAACAATCAACTGCCTTTCAAATTGGAGACAGAGATGGAAAAATGACATCATGTTTGTAAAATGTCTGGGACCCTGAAAGGTAACAGAGAGCAAAGACACAGTCAAGACAATTTCCTGCCATTGATTCATCATCATTACTTTTAAGAGAGGGTTTTGCCACACTAAAGATGAACAACTTCGAATATGGCAAGGAAAAACCAACAGCTGGACACAATCAAAAATAGTGATGCAAATATCCTGTAATGACTGACAGTGTTGCTTTAACATTTCATTTTGTTAATTATCTATTTTAGATGTGTTTTTGTTTTAAATAACACCTGTAACTGCACACATGCATCATTGGGTTGGCCACAAGCATGGATTTTCTAAGACAAATTGTTGTAATTACTCAAATACAGTAGTGTATGTGGAACATTTTAAGATTTAATTTCTGCTGTACAAACAGCCAAAAAAGTGTGACAAATTGCAAAATCTATAAAGGTATAGTTGTGTCATGCTAGATTAAAAAATATATATCTTTAAACAAAGATGTTATTACAGCTTGTTTGAGATACTGCAGAGTGAAATTACAGTACAGTTTCCCATTGATACCAAGTTTTCCAGTGGCGAGAGCATCTCTATGAATCTTGCGGCGGTAAAAGAAGATAAAAACTACATTGTAAAATGGCCAAAAGATTACCAAATGTGGACAAAAAAAAAAAAAAAAAAAAAAAAAAAAAAAAAAAAAAAAAAAAAAAAAAAAAAAGACAGAGGTCACGTGCAGTGTACTGTTGCACATGTTTATGCATCTATCAGCTTGCTTTAACCTCCACCAGCATATGACACTGTTCCTCTCGTCTCCTCTCAGAGAAGACAGGTTTTCAGCTGCGTCCGGTCGCCGGCCTGCTCTCAGCCAGAGACTTCCTGGCCAGCTTGGCCTTCAGGGTGTTTCAGTGCACACAGTATATCCGACACTCCTCTTCACCCATGCACTCCCCTGAGCCGTGAGTCATTGTTTCGTGGGACCTAACTTATTCATGTGTGCATTCAGCTGCTTTTTACTTTCTTGACTCTGCTAAACCTGCTCTGACAGGGACTGCTGCCATGAACTACTCGGTCACATTCCTATGCTGGCAGATAAAGAATTCGCCAAGTTTTCACAGGTAACTGTACTGTGCTACACTATGCTTTTAGAGTTGGCATAATGAGAGTGTCATCTAGATGTATAACCTTTAATATGAACCATTTTGAATGTTTCCAGGAGATTGGACTTGCTTCACTTGGAGCTTCTGATGAAGACATTGAGAAACTCTCAACGGTAGGTTTAAATGACATTTGTAACTGTCTATAAATAAGAATTTAAATGTAGGTTAAGTGGAATTTTAAAATATTGAGAGCACTTTACATTAGTATGTTAATTAATTTGGAATAAAACACCACAGGAGTGAAACAAATTACTTAATTTCGACTGTCTTGTGATACAGAGGCAAAAAAACAAAACACTTTGTTCCTTTAATGGATCTTCGGTGCCATCTAGTGGCTAAAGTTAACGACTGCACATTATTTTTAACCATCTGGAGTTCAGATTTATTTTGGTTCATTTTCGCCATCTTTTCATTTATGTTTAGCCCCTTTTAAACCATTCTTAACCAACATGCACTGCATCCTTCTTCTGCACAAACTCACATATAAGGTGACATAGTTTGTTGAGTACAACACTGTCAGAAAGTTGAAATACAAGAACACGACACAGACGCTTCCGTAAATGTATAAATACTTAGTGATAATCACTAAAATTGTTAAAGAACAGTTAGTAAAACATACTGAACTATTTATAAATGTTAATACAAGCAAAAGATTTTTCCTAGCTTGTGTTTTTGCCTTGTAAATTAGTCTAATTATTAATAATTCAATATTCAACAATAAAGCTTTTCTCAGTTTGTCTCTGAATTATATATAAATTACGGCATGTTATTATTTAAGAAATATGGTCAATTTATTCACCTGCAGATAGAAGGGTCATGTTCTCTTCTGCACACACCTAAAATAATTTTATTTGCTTTTAAAACCGTTCTCACTTTATAGTTATACTGGTTTACTGTGGAGTTTGGCCTCTGCAAGCAGAATGGAACAGTGAAAGCTTACGGTGCCGGACTCCTCTCCTCTTATGGAGAGCTTGTTGTAAGTGTGTTCTCTGTGTTCATGCACAAATATTTTGCTTCATAACTGTTCGCTTGGTGTACTGACAGCCTTGAACCTATCCTCCCAGTATGCTCTGTCTAATGAGCCGGAGTACAGGCCGTTTAACCCGGAGGAGATGGCAGTGCAGCCGTACCAGGACCAAACCTACCAGCCTGTTTACTTTGTGTCTGACAGCTTTGAGGATGCAAAAATTAAGCTGAGGTATTTACATATAACATTCTATTAGGAAACCCATGTAACAACATATAAACTAAGTTTATTCATTTTCACAAGATTTTTCAAACAGACAGAACAGTGTAATCACATTAAAATTAAAGCTGTTAATCACATTTAATTAACTAACTAAAACATTACAGCTGTTTCTTGAAACAAACAGCTCCATTGAAAGTTTGTTCTACTGGGGTCCCTCTGGGGCCTGTCCTTGGGCCCCTACTTTTTAGTCTGCTTTTGAATGATTTGCCTAATGTGCACACTCAAATGTATGCAAAATGATGATAAAAAGTCTAACCTGATCTTTTAGTAAATGGAGAAAAATGACAAATTGTGCCAAATTATAAGTATCATGGAATCATATTAGACTCACATTTGATAATTTCATTAAATATACTTCTTGTTGTTTACTGTACAAAATTGTCAACAATCTTGTTCCATCACCCTTGAAAGAATCTGTATCATTGTGCTCAGATAACACAAGACAAACAAAAGCATCCTCAAGGGGTGACTGTGTTATGCAACACAGATTGACAGGTTTTGGTCACTCAGCTTGTTCTATAAGAGCCACAAATATTTGGAATAAGTTACCAATTAGTATTAGACAATGCCCTACCAATTTAAGTTACAACTGAAGACCTGGCCAAGAGCCAAGCATGTGATCGCTGAGTAACCTCTGGTTGCATCTGTATGTGTAATGTAGTCTAAATGTTATTTAAATTATTACTACCTGTAATGTGATTTTAACATCAGGAATTTTTAATGGTTAGTGCTTGTTATTAATTAATGATACCACATTTACGTCTTGTCTACAATGACATAGTATGAGGAATTGTATATTTCTGTACTTCCTGCCCAGGGACTACAAATGAAATTTAGCTCTGTAGCTAATTCTGGGGAATAACAGCTGTCCATTGTCCCTGTCAAACTATTTTACAAAATTTTATCCTTACAATACAATGTGTTGTAATTTAAAGCTGCTTGATGAGGGAAAAGAGATGAATCTTTTCTTCTGTCAACTATTTCTAACTGTGCATCTTTTTAATACCAAATCACTCACTCTAACAGGAGGTACTCTGCAACCATCAAGCGTCCCTTTGCAGTTCACTATGACCCCTTTACCTGCAGTGTGGAAGTTCTGGATCAGCCCAGCAAGATCCAAAATGCTCTGAGCCAGATTAGAGAAGAGCTGAAGACGCTTCACAGTGCACTGGAGAAGCTCAGCTTATCCTAAGACCAGGAACACTCTTTGTAGGGATAAGACAGAAACTTCAAAGCAAAACGATGGAAAGTTGACCTGTGTAAACACTGCAATGTGATTAACTACTATGAGCAACTCAGACACACACAAATCAGTTTAGTCTGTTTGTGAGGTTCCACAGGGCAATTTATTTGTGTGTACAATGTATTATGTAATGTGAAGATCATGTAAAAAGAAATAAATGTTTATTTTCATGAGAGGTCTCTTTAAAACCTAAGTGCTGTCCAGTGTTTACCAGCAGGAGAAATAAGCGATAGAGAGGGAACCACTACAATACAGGATAAGTAGGTCAATTTTTAGTTTTTAATTCCAAACCAACTCCTTTTCATTTGGAAAATTCTTGGAACCCATTTATTTCATGTGTTTCTAAGCAAAGACAAGGAGCTAATTATTAATGATTTAAGTATCATGTTCCTCTGCTGGTCAAGGCCAGAGCTAGCACATCAGTAGAGCCAGGTCACTGAGACCTCACAGTCAACCACAACACGCTCCGCATGGCTGCACTGCTGACAGATGCTCTTCTCTCTTTATTTCTCTTTCTGTGTGTGACTAGAGAATTTGGCCTACAGTGCTTTTGACTGACGTCCAGTGTTTTGATCTCCACACAGGCGACAACGCATATCAGTGCCGCTCATGCCAGTGCTTTTCCCTTAAAAGACAAATCATCCCCATCTGCAGGACTCAAAACATCACCACCCTCAACACAGTAGCTGGCAAACCCTCCCATTGGCCACCTTGTACTGGGAAGCTTTCCCTTCCCATAATTCCGCTTGTACAGTAAATCAAACCTTGCTCAAGCCTCCCTGAGAAAGTCTGTGTTTGCAGAGTAGAGAAACTGTGTGAAGAGAGAGAGAGAGAGAGAGAGAGAGGCATAAAGCAAGTGGAAGTAAAGGATGATCTACTGCTTGATAAGTGTGTAGGGATACATACATACATACACTCTCTCCAACCAAAGGTTAAACACTTTTTGATCTTCATCTAGCACATCACAAATCCACATGAAAGCAACACCAGGATCTCGATCTGCAAAATGCTAAAACAAACATATGCCAACATTTTGCCAACAATAGAGAATGATGGAGGAGCTGGTTGCGACATTATCTCCAACTGGGGACAAGGCAAAGTTGATCATTGTTCCCAAATCACTCACCACATCCATTCACAATTTCGGCTACACCTTTAGCAACTTTGCTCTCTCTCCTCACTAATATGCAACCAAATACAGATGCTCTGCAGAACTTTCACAGGAGGTCAAGTGATCAAACTCTCCAATTTTGGAGGTTAAAAGACAAAACAAGTGTCATCATGGAGGAGGATAAATGAATAATAATATAATAAAAAGCATCTGCAAATGATTTACTGACCAATAACAAAGCTACTGGTTACAAAAGAAAAGTGACACTGATAAACAGATCCGACAGCTCCCACAAAGTGTGTAACTGTGGTCAACAAGCCCCCACCCAAAAGCACCTTTTGACCAACTCTCTTACACTGAGGAAAATCAACATAATTACCTCATTCTGGGAAAGCACCGCAAACAGCCATAAACACTGACCTCAAAGAGCTCTAATCTCTTTGTTTCTCCTCATAGCATGCTCCTCATTATTTTTATTTGAGCTCTTAATGCTGAGCCTGGGCTTAATGCTGGCAGGGCTGCAGAGGGACTGTCTGAGGGGAGAGATTAAGAAAAGTTGTTAAGGATTTTAAGGTGGTTTGATCTCTTTCATCCGTTTCTCAGTTCATTATTAGTCCACATTATTGACACAGAAGACGAAGCTGTGAAGCACGATAACGTCATTGAGGTTACATCAAAGGTAAGGAGGCCAAGGCCAGTGACGTCTGAGGACGTGCTTCCAAGAGGTGAGGTTGTAAGCTCACCAAAATGGATCATTTGTAGATATCAGTTCCCTGCCAAGATGGAATTAAATCTTCACGCTATTCTGTGCATTGGCCATCAGATGGTGTCCTTCAATCACTGGGATTTGTAAAGCTGTTGACATATATGACTCATGTTTCAGGAGAGCGGCTGTCCTGTGTGGCTGCTTTTATACTTTCTGAATAACATTCAGTGTGCACAGATGAAAATGGCAGCCTCTTCTGACATTGACATCTCCCATGTTACATGCAGCTGCTCCAGCACTACTTGCACCTACAGCACAGCAAACTTAAGAGTGGAGACCACATTGGACTTGTTAAAACAAAAAAGTGGACCAGGAGAGCAGTAGCATATTATGCTTAGTGGATGGCGGTTAACGTGTCCTGTCCAAGAAATATACGAGGCTGACGAACTGGTTTGAATAAGAGGAGGTCTCTATGGCCTGTATTTGCAGAGACATCACTGCACAATACAACCTAGTGTTTCAGCTGACATATACATTCATAAAGTATAATAAACACCTCTGTTAGACGCTTGAGTACGAGTGCACACTTACCCATTGCTGCACCCTTTAAGATCAGGTACATCTGTGGAAAAAAGTGATCAGCTTTGACCTCAAATGATTCATGATCATGTAAATTAAATGAGTGCCCTCTGCAGCTTAGCAGGCATATGACTGCTTTAAGAATGGAGATGGTGATTTGACACAAGTGGGATCCCGGTGACAGCACAGAGTCCATGTTTTACTGGAGTACATTACAAGTTTCTACCAAATAATCCTCTCTCTCATGGTTGGTCTGTGGAGCATTGATAATTATTTACCAAGATAAGATTCTGCACATCCTTGCCTCTCCTCATAAACTCCTCAGTTTGCATGTCTTGGTACTGGAGATAACCCTCAAATGGCTGCAGGCTCCCATGCTTCCTAAAGTTTTTCCTAGGATTACACTTCTTATAACTCCAGTCTCCCTGCAGGGTTTGCCCAACAGCTGGAGCACAGCCAGACCTCCTAGTTTTTCTTTTTCTTCATCCTTACCTACTTGTGGATTTTCTGCACCTGCACATACTGTATATTCTTGATATATATCTAGCCTGTCACAGATGGTAAGAAAAAGTAAAAACAGAGAGAACACCTGTGGTACGATGATAATGGAAACTGGTGAGTGGAGCGTTGGCACCAAAGACCCAACTATAGCTCTTCTGGAAACAAGACCAGGATGCTGTTTATCTGCTGCTGACCTGACCTGGGGTAGTCAGAAATAAAAAAAGAACAGAGCTCAAGCAAGCAGCCAATTTTTAATCAAACTCCATACAAACTCGGCAGATACTCGGAAAAATATTTTATTGAAACTTTACTAGAATAGAAACAGAGGACCTAGTTATCCACCAAGGAAAATGCTGTACAGATGTCTACATTTCAGTCATCCAAAAGCAAAGTTTCCTGTCACCACCGATCACACAGAGTGGGAGTGTCCGGTGCCAGCTGAGGCCCGATCCTACTGTAGCTGACCCGATTGTCACCGGCTGTAATGATACCAGTATGTGATCAGAGACTGCAGCTATACAGAACTTTAAAATGACCATGATCAAGGACTGTTTAAGGCACCTGACTGACCTGTGGATGGCCAAGATGGTGGATGAGTAACTGACTACTGATCTTTCCTGGACATCCAGTGGTGGCAAAGAGGTTTTCATTGGCTCGAGACCACCTGAGGAGGAGAATAAAATGTCATCGTGCTTAAACTGCGGGAATACAGAATAATAGGGGTCATTATATAAGTTATTTACCCCCCCCACCCACTTCCTGAAATTTACCTATATTTACTTTCAAATTAATACTAAGTGAAACAAATGCAAGTTTAAGAAAAACTGGATTTTGCACACAGTTTTTCTGTGCTTTTACTTTTGGGTATACAGTGTCACAGGTGATGAATTTATTTCCATACTTGATTAGGCTTGCTTTATCTCTGTGGGCTGGTCTTTTTTCTTGAGGGTAACTGCAAGGAATCAAAACAAGGTTTAGACACATTCAGTCCTACTATGTTATTCCAAATCCGTACATCAAGCATCGATAATACCACCCTTTCCCTTACCTGGAGCGAGTTATGTCCCAAATGAGCCAGTCACTGCCCGCCACAGCCCCAACTTTGATTGTGTTGGTGAGGCACCAGTCGGCCGACATGAGCGGTGACTGGCCGCAGTCCAGTGACAAAATAGCCTGATGGGTCACCAGGTCGTAGAAGCGAATTGTCCCCTTCTTCTCTGCCACCATTAACTGAAGAGGAATGATGGGTAACTTAAAACAAAGTAAGTATAGCTCGTTTCAATCCCATCGCTACAATAACTGCATTTACTTGTGCCTACATTGACTACAAGCTTAGTGCCACACAAAGACTAGAGCTTGTCCCAGCAGGCCACTGTAGAGAAAAGGTAACACTCTGGACTCGTTGCACTTCACCATGAGAATAACAACTAGGCTGGATTCGTTCAACACATGAACCAACACAATGTTTTCTATCCTGGTACTGACTGTGATTCTTCTTCTCAGGTTATAGACCAGTGCTGGTTTTATCCCAGATTTTAATTCTGTTTTAATATGACTTAATGTGCAACTCACTGGAATGATTTTTTGGAAGTAACATGAAGCCTGGGGTGCTGTTACATTATAAACAGCAGCCCATTAATTTCAGTGTGGCTGAAATACAGTGGTGCATGTAGATGTTTATAGACAACTAACTTAGAGACTTCATCATATGAGCATGAAACACACTCTTACCTTAAAGACTTCCTCTGGGTGCCAGCACACACTGATGCCAGGGGAGCGAAGTCTTAGAACAGTATTTTCATTTCCATCCAGGTCCCACAACCTGTAGGGTTCAATTAAAATGAGCCTTACAACGAACACCAATAAAACACAACAGAGATGATGGCACAAAGCAGCCTTCATGATCTTATACAACTGCTGTATCTGCAAAATTCAAGTTGTGCAAGTTTAACTATTTCATTATAAACTGAAAGTGTGAGAATTATTAGCAAAACCCCATTTAGTTATCTAGTTACTGTAACAAACAGGATTTCAAATCACTTCTAACTAGTAATGTTACCAGCTAATTCAATTTGATATGCAAACTGTCTTTTGTCCAAAATCCAAAACAATTTTCAATAACTATTAATTAATAACAATGGGATTTTAGAGCTCATGTCTAAAAAAAGCGCCTGAGTTTGAACCAGCCATAGATGCTTCCATAATAACCGAAAGAACTCACTTCTTTCTCAGCTGTGCACAATCAAAAATAAAATGACAAAGACAATTTTAACCTTGACAGAGAAAAGGTGGCAAAATTGCCTCTTAAACTTATACCAAGACATTCCTACAAAGGTATTTAGTTGTTTACTTTTTCCTGAAGCTTCTTCTACAGAGATCAAGCTCTACCTAAATGTGTGGATTAATAACAGACACAAAACTAACAGGCTCTTACTGCACATGATGTGGCCAATGGTGAATGACGTTTTCATCAAAGTTCATATTTGCTCCTAATTTATCTAATTCCTGCTAGTTGTGCACAAGTGATCTACCAGAGGATTATGCTTTTCCAGGGAAAATGGGCACTTTTCTCAGACCTGGGCCCTGAGCTGTGAATACAGATAAACTAATGTTGGACTCCTCTTACAAAGAAAATGCCAGTCACATTACACTGAGCAAAGATAGCAGAGGCTGATGCCTGAGTCAGCGCTACGCTCCACTCACATTACAGCAAATGTTTCAATACTGGCGGCTCACTGCCATTCGTCTTCTGTGAAGTACAAAAAGAGGGCAGCAAGGTTGCACATCACTGGAAAAAGAGCAGCGGAGAAAAGCTGAACAGCATCCTACTTTATGCAAATGAAACAGCGGGGTCTTGCAGGCAAAAGCCAACCGAGTATCAAAGCTTGTGTGAGGATCTTCATAAGAATAATAGCACATTCAGTAAGCTAAACAAGACCTATGATAACAAAAACCCCTGAGAAAAACTACAGATGTAATGAATAACTTGGATGGAGCAAACTGTGGTTCTTGAAATCTGGATCTATGGTTAACCACATCTGAATGAACCTGAACTAGAAGAAAAGGTGGGGATGGGGGTGATGGGGCAAGGGATGCAAGGCTGCAAATGTTTCTGGGAAAAAACAAAACAAATGCTTTTGAAGCATGGAAAGGCGTTGACTGATGATGACATCATTTACTAAAGCCCAAAGAGTACCTCCAAAGACCATCTAAATGTCAAGTGTGTTGTTGGAGAGAGTGATGTCCTCAGTTATGTGATTAAGGGAGGATATGCCCTGTCTCAGATGAAGACCATAGTAAACACTCAACCTTTCCTGCCTCCTCTCCCCGGCATAGAGCCCTGCTGAAACTCTGGGTTTCTTTCTTTTGCTTAAGTGCAGACTCAGCCAGAGCCTCTGTTATGGAGCATGAGTGAGGCTAAGAGGAAACAGGGAAAAAAAAAGCAGAAAACCCCCCAGACCACACTAGGAAAACAATGACTAAGACCTATTCTTTCAGACAACTAGCCAAGCGGAGCTCAAATGCACGCTACACCACCAGCGGCCATACTGTGGTCAACCACTCTGCCCCTCAAATGCAGAGCACTGGCTCCCCGTAAAAACATAACCTTTACCGAACGAGGTGAAAGACATAAGACATGAAAACGCGTGACCGCCTCTGATAAAACACTGTAAAAGCATAACACTACACAAAGCAATAACACTCTATTTCCATGTACAACAGGGTCAAAAGGGGCATCTGAAGTCCTGTTCATTGTTATCTATAGTAAATGAGAAAATGATTATGTCAGAATGTAAAGGTCTGTAAGCACTGCCCATAAATAGGGGAAATGCTGTTGTGTGACCTGATTTACTGTAGCATGAAATAATCAAAGGTGACTGTCTGAAGGGGGAGAATTGGAACAGCCAAACAATCTCCCATCCCAGTGCCTCACACAGTCACTTAGATGAGATGCACAATATCAGGTTCTGGTTTAATAGGAGCTGTTTAAGATTTAGTTTAGATCAGAAATACTAACATTATCCTTAAAAGCAGGATATCACACTTCTACTGCTGAAAAGAGGTACTGAAACCAATTGATCTATTGTTTGGGTTTGCTCGCTTCCCTGATACAACTGGCCAGTTCAGGGATCCCCTCAAATGCCTAAAAAAATTTGTATATAAAATAGTCATTTCATCTCAACCATGGGGTAGTTGTATGCCATGGGATATGGGGCATTTCTGTGTTTTTGTGTTGACAGTAAGGTACGTGTAAAAGCACTGGAGTAGCAACTTGACAAAACGGATTATGTGATTTTCAAAATATATCCAAGTTTGTGTTTATGCAGAAATGAACACACAAAAAATTATTACTAATTAAATTACTAATTAGTAACAGCAAATTAGTAATAAATTACTAATTAGTGTGATGCTGATCTGTACTACAGTATATTTACAATACCCACTAAGCTACTGGCTAAACTTGACTAACTGCGAAATATGTAACTGCCAGGCTTAGTCAGCCTGCAGCACATTTACACCAAGTGTTGTAGCTGACAGTGTTAAAACTAGTTAGCTAGTGAGTAGAGAAGGTGAAGAAGTCAGCTTGAGATATGGCTGAAAGCTCTAAAAGTATATGGCTAAACAGTTTAAACAGATAATGCTAGCTAAAAGTAATGGCTAAATGGTTGAAACAACTGAACATAATGCACAAATGTGAAAGTTATGGATAGATGAATCTAAATATTGGCAAATGCATGAATGAGAAAGAGAAACAATATCAACCTTAATATATCTAATAGTGTTAAATAATATTCAGTTTATAAATAATTCCAAACAACCTATGTACCACATGATAGTGAGTGATGTTGGTGAATGGAGTAACTGAGGTTAAAATCTGGATGAAAAATTAAGCTGGTGCAATTTCTTTCCCTTACACAACATAAGGGATTGACAAAAACAAAGGTATTATCACTAGAAAAGAATATAATGCCTTAAACCATATACATAACGCTGCAGTAGGAGGTGCGCATTATCCAGAGTTCATCAATGAACTCAGGCAACCCCAAGTCCGCACCGGGCCTTGCAGTGTGCCATTGTGATCTCCAGGGGGCACGTTTCCCCTCAGACTCACTCCACTCCATCTACCAATATCCTGACCTGTTTAGACTGCACGAACCAAATGTAAACTCCCTGAGGAAGTAGAGTCCTGTTTCCCACCTAGATGCTGCAGTGTCAGGTTGCATTCTGGCAAAAGCAGAGTTCTCACAACTGCAGGGGACACTGATGACATAGCTAAACAAACTCATAGTAGAGGCACTGCTGCCAAAGCTAACAGAGTAATGGAGAGGTCAGGAGTGTATACATGCAGACATACACATCCCTCCCTCTCTTTCTGCAGGACTATATTCCTCCTCTCATATCAAGGTTCAGTTTGTGTGGGCTGCCTGGACAGCCCTCTCCTGTGAACTTGATCTATCCCTGGTTCCACCTCTGTCTTCCTCCTGCGCCCCATATTTTCTCAACATGACAGAATTTAAATCTTTCAGCAGATGGAGCACACTCCTGTTTTCTCTGGCCGGTCAGCAGAGGGAGGGGAAGAGGAGAGAGGATGGGAGTGTAGGAGACTCATTGTGTGTGATTTCACACAGCTTGATGTGGAAGGACACGGCACTGGGCAGGACGGAACGATCAACAAGAGCTTTATAATGACAAATAACCAGTTGTCAGGTCTAAGATAAACACTGAATAAACACAAATTTGACTGCTCTCAGAAAACTGTAAGAAAATAATGTATATACCTGTACTGTATCATAGAGCTAGGCAATAAAGTCACCTTTCAAAATTTTTATTTGTTATAACTGCCTTACATATACAGTTACCCCGTCATTCTAATGACACAGCAAAACCTGCCGTCTGTGGATTTTCAACTGGGGCTACATTTGAATGCTTTCAAATGGAATTACTGCACACGTTTTGTTCAATTTGTTTTGTTCGTTCAAATCTGATCTGAACCAGAGATTAAGTCGATCTATTGCCGTTGCCGCCATCCATTTTCCAAACATTTGAACTAGTGTGGGTAAATAAATCATTTAAGTAATCAACAGAAAATGAACTATTTTGATAATTGATTCATCTTTTCATTCTCAAGCCACATTTCCAATCATTCTCTAATGTGAAGACTTTTTGCTTTTCTATGTTTTGTGTTATTGTAAAGTGAATTTCTTTGTGTTGTGGAATGTTGGTCAGACAGAACTAAACATCTGAACACGTCACCTTGTACTCTCAGAAACTGTCTCTTCACCTGCAACTTTTGGTTCATATTTAAAAGTATCAAAATTAGTTTAAGGAATTTATACAGTTAGGGTACATGAAAAGTGTAAGAACAGGGCCCCGCATCGCAGCATAGATGGGCATGTTGCAGGACTGGTCCTGACGAAGAGGGTGTTGTCCCTGCAATGACCCTGGTTACTGACACACTTTTTCCTCTCTTTAGCTTTAATTGAAAAGGAACATTTGGGGACCTTGTTACAGGCCCCCCTTAGAGAGGAAAATGTTTCTACAGCTAATTGGATTTCCATATTTAATCAATTAACCTGAAAAGCTACAACGTGGCTCTGTGCCTATGCACACACACACAGGAGCATATTGTGCTTAGCATCACGTTTCACTGGGCAAACACAGTCATGATTTTCTGCACCATTAACAGAACAGAACTGAAAATCAGAATCTGGAAACACACACACACACACACACAGAAGCAAAACTGTTTGGACCTGCAAGTGTGGTCATCACTGACGGAAGCAATTTGTTTCCCCTCTGTAGGTTCGAACACCAAATGGTTAATGTAGCTGGTGTGGCCCTCCATCACCTAGGCAACAGTAAAGACCAACAATATGTAAATGAAAAAGAAAATACACGATCAACAAAAGTAAGTATTTTCTAACAAATGTTTACTACACTGGTTGTAGCGCTGCTTTCTGTATGTGTGGCAGCATTTCTTGTATTACTTAATACCAAACACCAGTGCAAAGTAGAGAAAGTTTGGTGCCAACTGACAAGCACAGTTGTCCAGTGTGCTCCAGATGTTGCACTACCTTGACTTCATGTCTATCCTGAAGATCTGAAGTCAGCAGGCGCAGCCTTCTGTCAGCTGCAGCAGTACAAAATCTGCAAAGAAGATGAGGAAAAGATATAAAAAATAAACAAAAGAGAGAACATCAAAGCAGAGTCCCACTGAGAAGACCTAATGACAGGTGACATCTCTTTCCACATACAGTGGGTACGGAAAGTATTCAGACCCCCTTAAATTTTCACTCTTTGTTATATTGCAGCCATATGCTAAAATCATTTAAGTTCATTTTTTTCCTCATTAATGTACACACAGCTCCCCATATTGACAGAAAAACACAGAATTTTGGACATTTTTGCAGATTTATTAAAAAAGACAATGAAATATCACATGGTCATAAGTATTCAGACCCTTTGCTCAGTATTTAGTAGAAGCACCCTTTTGAGCTAATACAGCCATGAGTCTTTTTGGGAATGATGCAACAAGTTTTTCACACCTGCATTTGGGGATCCTCTGCCATTCCTCCTTGCAGATCCTCTCCAGTTCTGTCAGGTTGGATGGTAAACATTGGTGGACAGCCATTTTCAGGTCTCTCCAGAGATGCTCAATTGGGTTTAAGTCAGGGCTCTGGCTGGGCCATTCAAGAACCATCACGGAGTTGTTGTAAAGCCACTCCTTTGTTATTTTAGCTGTGTGCTTAGGGTCATTGTCTTGTTGGAAGGTGAACCTTCGGCCCAGTCTGAGGTCCTGAGCACTCTGGAGAAGGTTTTCGTCCAGGATATCCCTGTACTTGGCCACATTCATCCTCGCCTGATTTTGAAGCTAAGTGCATGTGGCATATAGCAGTTTTCTACAGACTAGATGGCAAGTTAAGATTAACTCAAATATTTGTTTCTTTTCTTTCCTCTGTAGGTTCAGTGCCGTCGTTTTTGATGTCTAATCTATACAGTAGATTTGTAACAGGATTGCTAGAGCATTTTGGAGGTGAACTATATTAAGGTTAAGTAGGATTAGTTAAAGGTTTTCAGTTCAGATCCAATAGTTTCTCCTAAGATTGCTGGAGTATTGTAACTTTATTAGCACCAGTAAAATTAGTTAAAAACTTAATTTTCTATTTTCCTTTTTTCTAGGTTTTGAGGTTGTAATGCCTAAG